CTTTAGGGTCTTTAATATCAGGTCATTCATTAATCCTCTCTCCTTACACATTCCCAAGTCTAAAATAACTTGCATCCCATTTGATCCGGTTTTGATTCCGGCCTTTGTCAACTGTGGAGTCTGCATGTTCTCCCCGTGTCTGCGTGGGTTTCCTCCCACAGTCCAAGGACATGCAAGTTAGGCGGATTGGGCATGCTAAATCACCCATAGTGTTCAGGGATGTGTAAGTTAGGTGCATTAGTCATGGGAAATGCAGGTTTAGGGGGATGGGTCTGGGTGGGATGCTCGTCGAAGGGTCGGTGTAGACTTGTTTGGCCGAATGGCCTTTTCCCACACTGTAGGGATTCTATGATTCTAATTCAACTCCAGGCAACTGTTAGCAATCTGATTTGTCCAATCTATAATAACCGTAAAATCACTCATAATTATTGTAGCATCTTCCTATATACTATTAGGGGCCCAGAATGTACTCTCACAATTGACGTCTAATTTTTGTTATTTCTTAACTCTGCCTAGATAATCCTCCATCGTGATCTTCTGAACTATGGTGATCTCTCACTACTACACTAATGTCATCCTTAATTAACAGATCCCAGCACCTTTTGCAAGTTTCTTGTCTTTCTGACATGTCAAATACCCTTGAATAACTAGATCCCAGGCTTGATCACTGAGCAATCATGTCTCTGAAATGGCCATCAAATCATAAACATTTATTCCTACGTGGGCTATCAATTCATTTATTTTGTCACAAATGTTGTCGGCATTCAGATTCAGAGCCTTTAATTTGTCTTTTTACCATTTTTGCAATCTCTGGTCTTATCCGTTGGTCCACTCTCGAGTCTTTCTGTGCTGTCCTTTCGCACCAGATTCTGTCATCATTACCCCTTTGATTACCATGCTCTATTGCAATGTCCTTTCTTTTGACTTTACATTTCCCTTCACATGATCGCCATTCTCCCACCCACCCTCTCTACTGCCCTACCTTTATGGATGCATCAGACACTAGTGCCAGTAATGGATCAAGTAAAAATAGACTGTTCCAACAGTATAGCTTCCACTTTCTCCATTATTACTGGCGCTGGTGTACTTTGAATCAAAGCCTATTTCTGCAACAACAGTCTTTGAGCCACAGATTCAACTCTCCAAACTTATTTGCCCGATATTAATTTGTTTTGGGTCAGGTAGTAATTGAGAGAAAGCACCTTGACACTAAGGAAGGCACAGCTAGTTGTGCTATACATAGAATCTCAGAGCAGAATCAACGGTGAGTTTGGTGATGAAATAGATTTAGCCAGGCAGGAAGGAAGCAGCTGCAGATACTGTTGCCTTTCCACTTCTGCCCCAGTTTAGTTTGTGGTAGGACTGTGGGTGATGGCCTTCTCACTTGGCTGCTTACTGCTCACCCAAGGGTCTCAATTAATATCCACTGAACAGTCTCAACTAGCAGGGAGTTGGGGTAAAGACTATGCAGTAAGCTTGAAAAGCAAACGCTGTGGGGTTTGTAGATGGGTAGAAATAAATTAAAGTCTGGTTTAAGTGGAAGAAACCATTCTCTTTAAAGTCACATTTACACTTGGTTCTCCAAGCTCCTCTACTGGCACTCAGCATTTATTTCCCTTCTGTGAAAGGTTTTGGGACATTTGCTGAATTAAAGTATTATATAATAGCAAGGATGTGGTTTGTCTCATCAATTAGTGTTAACAATCCTCATGCTTTTCACTTGCCTTCTTAATGGAATATCAAGTTAAAATATTCAAATGATCAGTTAAAATTCCTGTAGCCTACTGTAATAGTACCATTTAATTTTAACAATTACTTGCAACAATAAATACCATTTATAATTACCATATAAATATCATTTAGGCATCAGCTTTGCTAGCACTTTCAACTCTTATGGTAATCAATTAAAAATATAACCCTTTACAATAGGATTAAAATTAAACCTTCCATTTATTTAGTTTACCGAGATATCTTAATTGCTTTCCTCATTTAGCCTCAGCACGACTCACCCCCTGCTGCCACAGTGCTATTCCCACCAAACATTCCTCCTTGCTTTCTATGTTCGCCAATATTGTTAAAGGTCTACCCACTCTTTCAATCTGCTATCGTTCCTGCTCAAAAAAGAATGTCCAACCTCTTTGCCTTTGCAAATTACCCCCCTTTTCCAACCTTCCTTTCCTATCCAAAGTTTTGTCTATGTCACCTCCCTAACACATTCCCACCTTCCTACAATTCTCTGCTGCCTTGTTAGCCCTCAAGTGCCTTACCTCACACTTTTCCTGGTTGAATTCCATTTGCCACTATTCTCACCATCTACATTGCAAATTCTAAAATTGAGCCACTTATGCTTTCAAGTCCTTTCATAACCTTGCCCCCTCTATCTTTGTAACATCTACTATCTAAGTCTCTCTTTGAGCTTTAGACACACATTCTGCTGTAACACTTGATAACTAGAATACTCCCTCCTGAGCTCATGTACTGTACTGTAATTATTAACTATCATTGAAGGTCACACATTCAGTTGCTTTGACTCCAAACTCCGTAATTCCCTGAAGGAGCCTGCCTCGCCAGCTCTTTCTTCCTATAAAATGCTCCTTAAACATCTCCCTCCCACCACGCGCCCCCCCCCCACTCGCTCCCCTGCCCCCCCCACCCCACCAAGCACCAACCCATCTGTTCAGATACTATTACAGACTTCTGATACAGGTGGGACTTGAACCCAGGCCTTTTGGTCCAGGGGTAAGGACACTACCACACATCCAGAGGAGGGCACCTGAAACATTCCTTAAAACCCATCTCTGACCAAACTTTTGACTCATATCTTAGTGGTGCAATTGCTAAACACCTTGGGATGCTGCACAAAATCCCTCTAAGAATGCAAGTAGTTCTGTGTCTGTTAATTCCACAAATAATTAGTTATTTTAAGTTGTTTAATTTTGAAGATCTCCAACACCAGATCAGTAAATAGTAATCAAGAGACTAGACAGCATAAGTTAAAATTCCACATTCACATTGTGAAAGTTTGAGTTAAGTTTTTAAAAAGCACAGGAAATTGGAACAAATCTATAACTACTCTGGTCAGGCCATACTAGTTTGAAGATCAGAACTGTACCAGCTGTATCAAGGGAGATGGTGGTATAGTGGCAATGTCACCAGAGGAGAGTAGCTCAATGGGTCAGGCTAATGCCGTGGTGCACAGGTTTAAATTCCACCATGGCAACTACTGGAATTCATATGTTCATTTCAATTCATAACATTCGTAAATTTAAGCCAGTCAGTGATGGCCATCAACTGTTGTAAAATCCAACCTTGTTTGCTAATGATATTTGGGGACAAAACTCTTGTCATCTTTGCCTGGTCTTGCCTAACCCATAGGAAAATAGTTGACTTAACTGTCCTATGAATGGACAGCAAGCCACTCATTCAAGGGCAATTTAAAATGAGCAACAAATAAGCGACATCACTCAACTTGAGGTTGGTTGGCCCGCCGAGCTGGTTTGTTGTTTCGCAGGACGTTTCGCTACCATGAAGGGTAACATCCTCAGCGCAGCCTCCGATGAAGTGTCGGTGTGTTTTCCCGCCTGGTTTTTAAACTCTGGGGTCCGTTGAAATGGATTGCCTTACTTCCGGGTTTCCTTCGTAGTGGAATGTATATGGGGTCGAGTTTGATGTGTTTATTAATAGCATGCTTCGTGGAGTGCCATGCTTCCAGGAATTCTCGTGCTTGTCTCTGCCTAGCCTGTCCCAGTCGAAGTCATGGCTCTCCTTGTCCATGTGGATTGAGATGAGCAAGTATTGGTTGTGTCTGTTTGTAGCCAGTTGGTGTTCATGTACTCTTGTTGTTAGTTTCCTTCCTGTTTGTCCGATGTAGTGTTTCTCGCAGTCTCTGAAGGGGATTTTGTAGATGACATTGGTCCTGTCCATGGCGGGGAGTGGGTCTTTAGTTCGGGTGAGCAGTTGTCGTAGGGTTGACGTGGGCTTGTGTGCCACTCTGATGCCCAGCGGTCGTAGGAGTCTTGTGGTGTTCAAGGATAATGGATATCCAACGAACTGGGTCAGAAGATGCCTACATGAACAGCATCAGAAAGATTCTACACGCCTCAACACACTCATCACACTACCCTACATCAGGAACACGTCGGAATTACACCACAGGACTCCTATGACCGCTGGGCATCAGAGTGGCACACAAGCCCCAGAGTTTAAAAACCAGGCGGGAAAACACACCGACGCTTCGTCGGAGGCTGCACTGAGGATGTTACCCAGCATGGTAATGAAATGTCTGCGAAACAACAAACCAGCTCGGCGAGTCAAACAACCTCAACACCCACAACCCAAGCTACAGATCTACTCGAAAACCTCAGATCACTCAACTTCTCAATGATGCCAAAATCCCATGAGTGTATTGGGGGGGGTGCTGAAATTTGCACGATTATACAGACTTGAACTTTGAGGTTAGATGAATTATATATTTTTATTTGAAAAGAAAGCCAGGTTGAACTTGCTATATTCAGTATGTTGCTCTTTCATACAAGAAATGGTAGTCTGACCAAGGGAAATGGGTGTCTGAATTCCTTCTAGCAATATCAATCTTTGAATTACTTGTGATTTATGAATGTGTTCTCATTCTTCCTCAACAGCTGCAAAGCTGCTCTGCTCCAATTGATAGAGGTTTTCTGCAAATTAATCAGCTTCCATTTGGGAAGAAAAGCTTAGAAATTTGAGCAGGATTCCAACCAAAACTTTCATCATTTCTTTCTTGTCAGATGCTGTTAGGCCTATTATACATTCTATTTTTGACTTTTATTCAAGACTTGCAGGATTCCCATTTTTTAAAAACCTATCCTTGCATCCTGGAAAACAAAGGTGTGGCCTACTGATTCCAAAAATAAAGCATACACTAACAAATTGCAACTGCAAACCCTTTTCAATGTTCAGTTCAGGTGCTTGATGAAAACTAATTCTTAAGGTCATTAGGAAACCATTTTCTAAGCACAAAAGACAGCAAAGAACTATATTTATTTTACAATTGCAATAAATTACATCAGAGGCTGGTTAACAGACGTTACTGCAGTTTCGATGTTGTTGTTTCAGCAGTATTTGCACTTTTAATCTTTGAAATCTGTCAAGATCGGCACTTGCTTCCTTCCCCACATTCATTTAATCTCATGCTCAGTTTCTCAAAGTTGACCATTCTTTCTTTAAGTAAAAGGAAAGGGGAAGTCGGCCTAAGCCAAAGTCACGGCAAGTAAATTCACTCCTATTTCATTAGTTATCTTGCATTTCACACACTGCATCCTTTAAACTGTTTGAAGTAATCAGATAACTTTCATTTCTTTAAAAACACAAATTAAAAAGGTGGCTTGTAGTGGCAAACTTGAAACTTATGATTTTTTAAAAAGTCTGAATGAAGCCAATCAGTTGGCATTTAGTTGTAAAGTCTTTACGAGAGAAAGGTAGCTGAGACAAACATATCAGGAATGGGCTTGGAGCTTCTTTTGAAAAAATAAATTATATTAATACAAACAGAGGAACCCATATACTAGGTTAAGCAATTAAGTCACAGTTGGTTGAACGGTACAATCAAACACTCTATTTTTGGGGAAAGATGGGTAAGGTTTTCCTATGAAATCTCTGTAAATCTGTGGTTATTGATTTCATTCTTCAGTGTTATCTTACTGGAATGAAGACTAGAAACCAAAGAGATAAGCAGAATGGGTTAAATTTTACATTCTGATAGCAACTTTACAAACTTTGCAGCAAATATCCATAGGCAGTGAAAATACAGAGGCACAATGTAGTGAGAAAATAGAACTGCTGTCTGAGAATTCCTAATTTTTTTTGAAACCCAATTTGTTTTCTAAATCTCTGAGCAAAGAACTGACCTGCAACCTTAATATGGAATTTTCCTGAAGAAGCACAGTAAAACACCTCAACTTGCTCTACCTCCAGAGTTGACAGTCCTAATAGCTCGATAAGCAAAACACATGACCTGAATACCAAGCAGGCAAAAGAAATTCACACAGGAGTACTCCTAAGCTTTGATATGTCACATTCTAAATCAAGGGCTGTTCTATCATTATGAATCCAGTCAAAAGATTATCCAAGCTTCACAAATGGTGATTGCTGTCATTTATATTTGCAGCTGTCATTTATTCTTGCGGCTGGAGACTGTAACAGGGTTCTTGGCATTGAAGTAGGAATTAAAAATCAGTTCATTCGTGAACACTAAGAAAATAATTCATTTCTACAATGCCTACAGCTGGTGTACATTTAAATTTACTCAATGCTAATCTGAGACAAGAAAATCATTAATTGGAGTTATTTGCAATTTGGCCAAAACTAAAAATATGCTTCCTGTTGTACAAGAATCTCATTATTTAGGCAAATTGCAACATTTTCAGCAAGGCTGTCTTCATTCTTCAAATGAGGTTTTGTTCTCTATAACAAATACACCAGGAGCATCACAAAAAAAGATTTAAATAACATTTCAGTAGAAATCATGCAATTCTTATTTTCCCATTACTTGGCACAATCACTTCTTTGAACCTTGAATGGCAAAGCAGCACAAGACAATTTGAGACACAACATGGTCCAATATCCTGAACACAAAGTTTTACAGCTTTAATCATTTCCCTTTTTCTTTCTTTTTAAATGATGCACTATTGACTTAAAGTAAAACAAAAAAACTATACCAGTTGCATGCCAAGTTTGTGAACTTTAACTTGCAGGTTGTGATAAATGCAACATAATCCTATTTACATACACAAAACCCAAACAATGACAATACCCAAATAGCTGCCGCCTCATGTTCGACTCCTGGAGAGACAGAAAGAGAGAAGGAACTGAAATGTGCAGGGAAATTTAGAAGCAGTGTGCTACCAAAATAAGGGGCTGTTGTTTGCATGTTTCAAGCCGTACCTTGGTTCCCAGGATCTTTCACAATATAAACTAACCTGAAATGTATTAATATAACGTTAAGCTTTACTGAACAGTACACACTTAGCATCAAACACACTGCTTGATTGTCTGAAGGAACATTTACTTGCATCTCTCTCAAGTTTGGCAAAGAAAAATACATTCAAAATTTTGAAATCACCTGGATGTAACACTGTCAAGGGTTCTATTTCACATCCAGCAAGTGACTGGCATAGTAAGAGGGGAAATTGAGGTTAGTCAGATTGGGCAGAGCTTGGTAAAAGAGAAGAAAAGGGTGACTGAAAGGTCTCTTCATGGCCCTGGTATTTAATTTCTCAGTTGATTGGTTAAATTTCCCATACTATAAAACAAAATGGTCAGCGAGCTTAACCACTTAAGTAATGAGTAGTATATTCTGTCTATTTAGGTCCAATGACAAAATTCTATCAGTGATTTTCAAAGCATTGATCACAATGCAAGTTCTTTATTTCATTACAACTCTCTGCATTTGGTACCATTGGAAAAATCCAATTTTATCACTGCCCTAACAGAATACCATCAAAGCTTATAAAACCCAAAAACATTGCATATATGGCAGCATCAACACAATGGCTTAAAGGAGCTATTTATTTGGATTTTATGGAAAGTGAAAATTGAAAGTCAATGAAGTCCACCTGAAAGCTTTCAATGGTGTGTTGAAACTGCACACATCAGTTTGATACATTGCTGTACTGTATACCAAAAAAAATCTTACTGCCATCATACTGTGGTGGATCTGAAAAAAAGAGAACCAACTTTCTCTTGGGAGGGTATAGAGTTCCAACGAACATTATAGTTAGACAAGTAACTAATTTTGTAATGATATTATTAATTTTTGTAGTTGAGGAGTGCTGTACATCCAAGGGATGCCTCTTGAATTCACAGTGTGTAATTATTGTAAGTGTCAGAATATTTACTGAGTACATAAGCCAGTAAACAATTAATAAAAATGAATATTTTGCAAGTCAACAAATGAAGTATATATTTAAAAATGCGTAATGTTTGGCAGGAGCATGGTTGGCCTCATTCATGGTACAACCTTGTAAACCCTAATTATTCACTTATCTGAAGCAAGCCACTGCAGATTAAGGAAATGAATTCTATAATGAATGGAATGAGTTAACAAATCAAGAAAGAATATTTTATACTTCATCAGCTCCAGCAGGCAAACAAGTACCTGAAAACAATATTTAAGTGATCTTAGGAAATTAATGAATAGTTTAGTTAGCAAATAAATCAGAACGGAAGCTATTTCAAAGGATCAGTTGAACTGCTTCATTAATTTAACGCAAGATACTTCAGAACCGTGACAATCAAATAGAGTAAATAGTTTTTCAAAGCAAGATGTTTGTCCTTTAGAGTCAGTTGCTTGTATTGTCGAATAACTGCAGACTGTATAAATACCGTTATCCCAGTAGGAAGATAGATACAACTACTGATCTCATTTGCAGGTCTAAAATTGTTGTGTTGTGTTCAACAGAGCTGTTGGTGTTTCAGATGATCTGCCAAACAAAAAACAGCATTTAAAAAATTCAACTTGTCGATAAAGTAGTGCTTTAATTAATTTTTTATACTAAGCAGGAATGCAGAAACTAACAAATGATTCATACTTTAGACAGTGGTGCAGTACTGTAATTGATGGTGGAAAGTTTTACAATTTATGCCACCAGATTGTAATTTCCTCTAACCAGTCAGATTTAAGACTGAAGAAATAAGCAAAGACATCAGAACAATTCTCACATTAAAATCATCAGCTCCTGATACCTGTACAAAGGATATAAGAATCATGACTAGATAATTCTAATCATAGCTAAATCATTCTTAAATTGTAAATTATACTGTTGCTTTAAGCTGCTCATATATCTGTAGCTAAAAATGTTAACATCATTAAAGCTATATTGCAAGAATCATTTGTATCTACACGATGGAGGATGATTTCTCAATGGCAATGTTTCTGATGACATCTGGAAACAGCTGTGTACGCACAACACAAAAACCAACTAAATTCTTAAATTGAAGGATGTAATTAAACATGGTCACATTGTAAGTGAAAAGATTATCTCCCAAAGATGAATCAGCAGACTTGCTCCTACCAAGGCTTTTAGAGGAGTTGTTTGGGGCAAATAATAACTGGACTCCCAGAAAATGGCAGTTTTGTCGCAGGTGTTCATTAAATGCCTCTGGTCAATATGTATTCCTTAATCAATACCATAAAACAGATTATCCGGTGGTCATGGTCAGGCTGTTGGCCTCATTAGTTTGAAGTAATGCTGGTGATATTAGCCTGTGATACCGATGCAACTGAAGCAGAAGATACAATTTCCATGCTGCAGCTCAATGGTTTGACAGATTAAGACCAGTGATTGCATTAGACTCTGCCCACTTCAACACCCCTGCAAGCATCATTTCCAAAGTACAGGTGCCAGTGCATGATGTAAATTTGTTTTCAATGGTTTTCGTTCAAAACTGCCAAACATATTGCAAAGTGCCAGGATTAACATCTATAAGGCAAATAACTTGTATGGCTTGTTAATCATTCAGGGCACCTTTTTAAATTACTCCAAAATTAAACGAAGGGTCCCATGCATGTCATATGACATTATCTCACAATACAGTGGTGTTAACTATCAACATTAATTTAAACCAAGAAAGATTTGTTCATCAACTTTCCAAAGTCAAAAAGTAGAATTGCAAGTAGTTCTCTCTCAGTTAGTTGACTTAATATAGGTGAACATAAAAGAAGAATATTGAAGCTATCCAAGGAGGTAATTAATGAACTGGGTCTAAATGGAGAGTTTTAACATCGGTATTAGTTTAGTTTAGCTCACAGTAGAGAGGAGAAAATGGGTCTAAAATTCCATCACTGGGATAAGGAAGCTAGTTAAAATGGTAAGGACCAGCAATCTAATCTAAATATCGTCAACGAAAAAAGCATGGAAACAAAAAAACTGGTGTACTTCATAACAACAAATGTCTTACTAGGAACTTTGAGAATGACAATTACCCTGAATTCCTTCATCACTGGCTCATTTTAGTCACTCTAGATGGAGAGGAGAGGGACAATTTCTCCCATGTTTGGCCTTTAGATTCCGGTTTATAACTTTGATACAAACAATGCACAAAGACTTTGTCTCTCATCCAACCTACAGGCAATTTCCAAGGCACTGAGCCACAACCTGATATTCAGTCATTTCATTACAAACAAGCTTTAATTTGTAAATACTTCTAACATTGCACTAACCCAAGAAGGTTTTCCAATGCCATGAGTGCTCCGTTTTACCTGGAAAATTGTTCTACCTTATTAACAGACTTTAGTTACAATTGAAAAGTGTGGATAATGTATTTCCAAAAAATAATATGGCATTAACGTCACCTCTGGTTCACAACTGTCAGCTGTGGTTGAGTTTGACTGATCCCAACTAAGACTCAGAATCTAACCTGGATACTTCCTGATCTGCATAGTCCAACTGATTTACATCATAAGCTTGAACATGCTGTAGCACTATAATTATTAAATATTTCTTCAAATGCTCTGACATTGGGAGATTCCCTGCAGCATACCTGAGGTCTTTACTAATACAGTGCATGTACTACAGTTTTTGATTATGGTAAAAGTTGTATTTAAGTTTGTCACAATCTCTGTAGAAACTGATAACAGTTTCAAGAGAAATGTGAATTTTCAGTTATTTGCTGGAAGGAAGACATATCAAGATTTCACATTGTGAAAGACCTTCTATTGTATCAATGACTAAAGAAAATACCACTCATCAAACAATCTTCATTTTGTATACAACATATACTTCAAACCACTCAGCAGATTTGCTCCTTTTTACTTTTACTGACAACCCCAATTGTTTAATGTTACTCAATCTCTTTATTAGACACACCATTTCTGGACCCAATTCAAAGAGTTTTACATTCCCATGAGCTTATTTTTGTTCTTTTCCTTCCCAAATACTGTCTTTCACTGAGTGTATTTTAGTTGTGGATGCTCTCTAATTTCAGCTGGGCAAAACCTCCAACTGTGTGTGTTAACTCCTGACAAATAACATTCTTAAATTAGGTTTGAGCTCCCAACAGCATTCTGGATGGTGAATGATATAGTCAACATTTTCTCTTCTGCCTAAGTTTGCCCCTTAAATGTTTATACTTTCGCTCTCTGTCTACCAGTGGGTTCAGATCACTTGAGACTGAAACTACAACTGGCCCTCTGCAATATCTCTGGCTTTAGTGAAAGCCTTTAATCTGACCTCAAAATAATTGCCTCTACACTCCTCAACATGGCAAAAGGAAGTAGCTTTTTATCCAAGTAAAAATGGTAATCAAGTATTTCTAATTATCAATATTAGGAACGAAATGACTTGATGCTGATAAAATCTTTCTGGTTATTAGGAGACTTGGGTCTTTTCACTGCGAACTTAGAAATATTGTCCCACAGTTGTTAACATCTGTCATCCACCTTTCAATAATACAAAGTAATTCCCCTTTTGCTTCATCCACTAAACCACCAGGTTTACTGTCAGACAGACTTAAACCCAAGTTATAGAATTCCTTTCATTTGAACTACATTCAAAGATACAGCCTAAAACCATTATAATCTTATAAACCAAAAGACATATCCCAAAAGGTGGGGCTTTGGCACCAGCTGGGCAAAAATGGAGTAGGGTGTCAGGTAGAAAAAGGGCTTCTGGGCAAGTGATAGGGGGGGCAGATGAATGTTGGGGATAACGTAGCAGTTCAGTAAGTGGGGAACAGTGCCAAATAGGTGAGGGCAGCTAAGTGGGTGAGTGTTTAGTGTAGGTTGAGAGATCGGTAGGGAGAGGTAACAGGCTGGGTTGGGTCTCAGGGTGAGTAGTGGGGTGCTGTTAAGCTGTGTCGTGTCAGATTTGTTGGGGATCAGGGATGGTGTTGCATCTGGCAGGGTGGCTGCTGTGGTGCTGGGACCTGTGAGATTGGAGTGTGTGGTGCTTCAGGGGTACTCAGGGCCTGTGAACAGGACATTGAGGGGAGTCAGTGGTGAGTTGGGTTTCAGCTTAATAGTACCCAGTACTTGGAGCAGGTCTTGATCCTCTAACTTTTCCTGGGTAATTATCAAGTGTGTCAAACCCACCAAAATCTCAACTCCAATTAGAAATGGGCATGAGGTGTGTTCCAGACACCAGGTAATTGTCCCAAAAAAATTTCAACTTCCTGGGTAATTTCCGCAGAGTCAGCTGCAAGGCGTTTCCATGTGATCCCAATGTACAATCCCAATTTATGCTGCTGCAATATGCATTTCCCCATTGGAATTTCTGGGCCATTATAATCAGATATCATTCACTCGTAACAAATTGTCGAGGTTTAAAAATATGCATATTGGAAAGAATTTATATACTGACTTTCATAACCTTAAGAAGTTATGAACTACCTTATAGACATGGAAGTGTTTTTGAAAGTGAGAGTGTAATGTAATGTAATAATCTACAGCTATTTCATCATATTCTATTTACAGCAACTGGTTAAAGCATTTCAACTTTTTTTTTAAAAAGAGATCTGTGACTAAAATAGTTTGCAAAATCTGTACAATACAGTCACTCAATATTTAAAACTGTTCATTAAAATTTTGGAACACTGACTGATTGATTTATTCTAATTAACTGGAATATCATTTACGCTGTCTGCAATGGTCAGTCAGGATGCTAAAATCATCAACTAACATGAATTAATTGAAGTTTTCTCTTGTCAAAGGTTAATACCTGTTCAGGAGTCAGCTTTGGTTTAGTGATTATATTCCTGCCTCTCAGTCAGAAGGTCAGGGGTTGAAGATCATTTTCTGAAACCTGAGCATGTAAAGTAGATGGACAGTTCAATGGAGTATTGAAGTTGCTGATGCCTGAGATGACGCATTAGACCAACTTCTTGTTTGACCTCTCAAGCTGATTTAGGACACATGGCATAGTTTGAAATGCAGCAATTATTCTATCCTATTATTCTGGTCAAATATTTATCCATTAAACAACCAGATAATTTGGTAGGGTTAGTTATCTCATTGTTGCTCAAGGAACTTTGCTGTACTGGCTAACTTGGTTGTTGCATTTCCTTCCAACAGTGACTGTTCTTCCACAGTATTTTATTTGTTGTGCTGCTTTGAACATCTTGAGGACACAAAAACATGTTCAAACGGTAATGCTTCTTAAAAATAATTCACAATGAAAGTGCATTAAAAAAACTAGATTTATCAAAACATCATTTCATTAATATTCAGTGTATTTTGGATTATTTCAAAACCTTCTATTATTTTCTCCACTTAAATACATCCCACGGATCAATTTCAAAGAAATGTACGAAAGAGAGGTGGAAATTCATCCCATCTAGTTCAATCTTTCTTGGAAACTTACAACAGAATATATCACATCCAGCATCAGTTTGGAATTTGCCTGGATTCTCCGCTGTACAGTAAATTTATTTTGAACTGGACTCTTGATTAAATTTTTCTACACCAATTAGGGTATCTTAAATGCCTTTATATAGTTTTCTGTCTCTCTTTACCTGATTTTTCAGGACTTGGACGTTTCATCTTTTATTAATTTGTTTATGGGATGTGGGTGTCACTGCTTAGGCCATCATTTATTGTCAATCTCTGACTGCCTTGAGAAAATGAGTTGCCTTCTTAAACCACTACAGTCCATGAGGAGTAGGTACACACACAATGTTCTTAGAAAGAGTTTTTTTCCAGAATTTTGAGTTAGTGACGTTGAAGGGACAGCAGGAGGGGAACTGCAGGTACGGATGCATCCATCCGCCTGTTGCTCTCGCCCTTCTTTATGGTAGAGGTTGTGGGTTTGGAAGGTGCTGTCAAAGGAGCTTGTTTTGTTAATATAGCGCATCTTGTGGATGGTATACACTGCGCTGTGCTGGATGAGTGAAAGCTGAAATTGATGAATTGGGTGCCAATCAAGTGGGCTGCTGTGTCCTGGATGGTGTTAAGCTTCTTGAGTATTGTTGGAGGTGCACTCGCCCAGGCAAGTGGGCATCATTCTATTACAATTTTCACTTATGCCTTTTGGATGGTGACAGACTTTGGGAAGTTAGGAAGTGAGTTACTCTCTATAGAATTCCTCAGCTCTGACCTGCTCTTGTTACCAGAACAAACCATGGAACATGGTAGTTAAGGTGCAGGAAAACCCAATGAGGATGACAACTTCAATGTCAAACTCTACAAGTCTGGCAGAATAATTCAGTACTTTGAGTAAATAAACAATTACAGATTGCAACAATTGGATTTGACGACATTCAAGAGCACTTGAGATATTAGATCAGTCCATGAAATTGGATTTTGATCACCTTACACAAGTATATAAAAACCGAAAGAACTGCGGATGCTGCAAATCAGGAACAAAAACATGTGCGCATGTAAACTGATGTTTTCCCAGCCACCATCAGTTCTGAGGAAGGGTCATCGAACCTGAAACGTTAACTCTGTTTTTTCCTTCACAGATGCTGCCAGACCTGTTGGGCTTTTCCAGCAACTTTGTTTTTGTTGCTGTTGACAAGAAAGTATATGTTTGCCTCAGAGATACTGCAAAAAAAAGTCCACGAGACTGATTGCTAAGATGTGGGATCTCTCCTATGAGGAGAGACAGAATTTGACTAGGTTTGTTTCGTTGCAATAGGACTGTTAAAGATGATTTCACTGAACTATGCATTTATGGTTTGACAAGTTGAACCCTTGGTGGGCACTGCGCCTTGCTGAGCGATCTAATACAGTGTCAAAGACTCAGAATAAAGAATTAGCCATTCAGGACTAAAGTGAGGAGAAAGTGAAACTCAGTGAATCTCTGGAATTGTCCATGCCCGAGAACTATGGACACTCTGTGGTGAGTACATTCAAAACAAAGTCCAAAAGGTTTTGAACACAAAATGATTCAAGGGATATGGGTATCCAGTGGGAAATTGACATTGAAGTTCAAGATCAACCACATTTTACTGTATGGTGGAACAGGCTGAATGACATATTCCTGTCTGCTCTTTTTAATTTATTGTTTCATGGGTTGTGGGCATCATTGGCAACACTTGCATTTGCTGTTCATCCCTGGTTGCTCTTTGAGGGCAGTTACGAGTCACAAATAGGATACATGAGGTAAGGATGATTGATTTATTTCCCTAAAAGAACACTAATGAACAATATGGATTTTTATGAAAAATTGATGGTAGTGTCATGGTCACTGTTATTCCAAATAGATTTCACTTTTACTTTGATTAATTAGTTGAATTTGTTAATTAAATTTAATTTTATCTGTTGCCATGGTAGGGCTTGAACCTGTGCGTTCAGTGGATTATCCTGGGCTTCTGGATTACTATTAGTGAGATTACCACGATATGGGTGATCTCATCTTTATCCCAACCTTGACAAACTGTTTGTTGATATCTGAAGCAGACATAAGATCCCATCCTCCCACTTGCTTTTTGAAAATATTACATGTGATGCCACTGGATAGATAACAACCATTGTTGATACTGCTGTGCAACTCTGTACATTGTGAAGCTATGACAAAAACCCCTAAACAGCATTGGCACCATGTAAAATTTGAGTTAACTAACTGTGGTAGTATTCCAGATGACCACCCCTGCAACTTCTGGAATTTACTGCCTCTACCAGTATGTGGTACTGGTTGAGGTAGTTTGAGTTAGTTTGCTGCCACCAAGCCTCCTTGGTCTTTACTTTGGACCTATCTAGTTGTCGATGGCAGAGATTTCAAAACTGTAGAGTATCTATACATGACATATTGTCCGTAAATAACAAGGGGGCGGCACTGTGGCTCAGTGGTTAGCACTGCTGCCTCACAGCACCAGGGATCTGGGTTCGATTCCACCCTCAGGTGACTGTCTGTGCGGAATTTGCACATTCTCCCAGTGTCTGCGTGGGTTTCCTCCGGGTGCTCCGGTTTCCTCGCACAATCCAAAGATGTGCAGACTAGGTGGATTAGCCATGCTAAATTGCTCATAGTGTTCAGGGATGTGTAGATTAGGTGGGTTATAGGAGGATGGGTCTGGGTGGGATGCTCTGAGGGTCAGTGCAGACTTGTTGGGCCAAAGGGCTTGTTTCCACACTGTAGGGATTCTATGATTCTATGATTATTGCACAATAGAAATAAGTATACCTAACCAAACGTACTTAAGTTGTAATTATTACGACCTCAAGGGAGCTGCTACAGAAATATCTGCTTCTACCAAAAGGAGTGGAACGCTGCCTCTTCACCAAAAGACAGTGTGAAATATCAGTAGAATGGGTGCAGCCAATGTACGTGAACAGTAACCCTTTGAGAATAATTACTGTATTCAACACCTAAATTCTGCAATTGCTTTAAAGAATGCTGTTTCTCATTTCTCATTCCATCCATAGATTGATTCTAGTCCCCAAAGCTTAAATGGCAAAAATTACATTATACCGCCCTATTATTCAAAGATCAATTTACCTCATTCATAAGCACTAAATTAAATGCTGTCCTTTCATTATTGATTTCCAGAATTATTTTAATACTAAGATTGCATGCCTAAATAGCCACCTAAATTGACAGAGATCAGGTTCCTCAAAATTGTTACTGAAGTTTGCACAGATTTTATGTTTCTCAGGGTTTGCTTTGGAAACCAATTTGTTCGATGTAAACACATTCACATTTTATGTTCTTAAATAAATATCTTTGCTGTCAGCCTCGAAATTGTCCCTCAACTTCTTAGGCTCTGCTTTCTCAATTGTTTTCTTATTAAAAAATACTTAAACCATTCTTTTGTGGAAAAGCTTGCCAAAAAAACTTAACTATTTCTATGGAAAATAATAATAATAATTGACATCAATTTCATGCGTATTTAATTCACAAAATATTGGACACTTTACTGGTTAAACACTTTCAAATAATGCAAAGTTACATACAGAAATGAAATCCAAGTTACTGTTGGCCAGGAAATTTTTGGCTTAAATTAGGGGGAGGCGGTGATGTAGCAGTTATATCACTGGACTTTTAATTCAGAACCTCAGGTTAATGTTCTGAGGGCATGGGCTTGTAGCCCACCATGGGCAGATGGTGAAATTTGAGTCTAGAATTGAAAGTTAGTCTAATAGTGACCATGATGATTGTCATAAAAACCCATCTATTCACTAACACACTTCAGGGAAGGAAATCTGGCATCCTTGCCTGGTCTGGCCTACGTGTGACTCCAGACCTATGGCAATGTGGCTGACTCTTGCCTCAAGGCAATTACAGATGGACAATAAATGCAACACCTACATTGTGTGAACGAATTAAAACAAAACGTATACTGATAATAAAAAGACTAGGTTCAAAACAGAACATTAAATAACAAACCAAAGCTTACCAATGTTGCTGAGGTAAATACAGCACACCCCATGGCCATCAATGCTGTGGCTGTTCAGGACTGATGCCCATCGATTTGTAAACCTCTTTAAGAAACAGCAAAGCAGTGTCTTCTGATTCCCTATGGAAATCAAGTGTACAATATTAGTAAGAGTATTTGACAAATCTATTACATAAAAGGCAAATACTGCCTTTCAGCGTAAACAGAAATGACGTTTCCATGGTAATGTGGTCTAACTTTCCCGATGATTGTGCTTTGTTCATCTGAATAACCACTGTAGATGATCATTTGCAAAATCAACAATTTAGGCCCCAGTTTTTAATGAAGCACAATGGATGGCAAAGAATTATTCACTGGCTCTAAGGCGCAGGTGCTGCAGTCAAATCCTAAACTCATTAGAAGAGATATATTTGAGATACATTCTAATTGGGCAAACTAAAAGTTTGGTACAACAGCACATGGTATACTTTCCAAAATCAACATCATAATTTCTACTGCAATTGTGCTTTCTGGTACATCTTCCGCTAATTAGACTGGAAGAAATGTAATCATACCAGCAAAAATCACTGAAGTCATTGCCTTCAAGGATTCAGGTGGTGAATGTACAAGGGCAGTGGTCCTAATTTACTTGTTATGCAACATCAGCACTTCAAAAATATTTGTTATTTAAGACATTTAACTGGCTGTAAAGAACTTGGAGATTACGAAAGGTGCTGTATAAACTCGTCTTTCTTCTTTCGTATCCAAATACAGAGAAGGAAGATTCCCAGATATCCTTGAAAAGAATCCAACCCTTTGCTAAATTTGCTGATTTAGATCAGGCACTTGGTATCCTCGGAGAGGAGTGTGGTCCCAGAATTCCCTTTTTTTTTTTTAAAAAACAGTAACCGATAGGTCTTGTTGGAAAGTGCATATATAGACATACACGAGCTATTTGACAAAGGCTGCAAGTGATCCAACTGAAGCTCATCATTTATACTCCATATGAGGGGTTGCCACAAGTAAGGTACTGCAGATGCTGGTAACCTGAATAAAAATTAAATGCTGGAAATACTAAGCAGTTTGGTAGGATTTGTAGGAACAGAAGTAAAGTTAAAACTTCAGAGCTTTGATGAAAGAAGTGCAATAACTTTTATGTAGGTGAAATGGGCAATGAAAGAAAAACAACCAAAAGGAAGATCTGTGAAACAGCATATGGCAGGAGTATGAACTATTAAAAGAGTTGATGGGACAGAACTAAAGACAGTACTGAGGAGACTTTTAAAGAAACAAAAGATATATTCGGAGATGTGAATAGTAGCATAATAAACTGCTGCTGTAGTAAACAATAACAGAAAAATGATGTTCAGGTTGACACATTCAAAGAAAATGAACCAAACTTGGGAGCAGAGATTGCAATCTGAAATTGCTGAACACAGTACAGAAGGCTGTACAGTACATAGTCAGACAATGAGGTTCTGTTCTTGAAGCCTTGATTGAGCTTTATTGGAACCAAAGATGTTTTAGCATGAAAGCTAGGTCGAAAATTAAAATAGCCAGCCATCGAAAACTTGGGTCATGTCTGTGGACCAGATGGGCATATCCTGCAAAGCAGTCACATGAAGCGTGTTTGGTTTCTTCCATGTAGACGAGAACACGTTATCAGCAGTAAGTAGAGTGTACTAGATTGAAAGGAGCACATGTAAATTGCTGCTTCACCTGAAGGAGTGTTTGTGGCTTGGGATGGAGAGGATAGAGGAGATAAACAGGTAGGTCTTACATTTCTTGTGATTGCATGGCAAGGTGTCTGGGGAAATACCTTAATGATGTTATGGTGTGGACTAGGATATCACAAAGGTCCCTTCAGAAAACGGAAATAGGAGCGGAAGATGTGTTTGTTGGTGGCAATGGAGCCATTGACCATGCTCGTACTCGATGGATCACGCTCCACCAGTGCCCTAATTGAAAAAGGGTAAACACTCTTCAGATAAACATCTCAATTATGGAAGTTAGTGCTCATACCATGTCCACTTGGTTTGGTGTTTTTTACAGTACAATAATAAATATTTCTTCAATGTGGGTCTGACAGTCATTTATGACAAGTACTTCTTTACTCATGCGATCTAATGGTGCCGACAATGAGACCTGATTATTACCACAACGCCAGATATATTACTGATTACTCAAATAAACAGCTTGATTTATGTTCCATTTCTTGTCCATGCAAATGTTGCCATCAAATAATGTCAGTTTCACAGCACTTTTAATGGCACAAGGCAGCAGCCTTTTTTCTAACTAATTCACGGCTAACCTTATCACACTGGCATTAGTCAATGGATTTCCCCACAAATTACATGTATGCTTGGCAACTACAAATATCTGCAAGCTCCTAGTTGTGAATATTAAAATTTAAATAAAGATACACATGGAAGCAATATCTATCCATACACAGTAATTACTCTATAAAATGAAATTTGCCTAATCTTACTTAGATATTGGTACTGTAATGCCATTGCAGAATAAATCAAATACTTCATGCAAATATTAGCAGGAGCACACCGAACTTTGCTAAAATATTACTCTATGCTAATAGACTTCATTCCCCCAAGTATGTATATATTCTCTTCTGGCAGACTTCAAATAAGTTCACCCAGAACTACTCCACTACGATAGACGAGAATGGTGGGAGATATATGCGTGCATTCTCACAATCCTCTAACACTTTATTTATGCTGCAGTGTCTTTTGAATGGCATGTTAATGTTGCATTTTTCTGTTTCAACTGTGCTCTCTGTATATAAACAGTAAATATGTGTACTATTTACACAAATACCCAAAAGGAGGGAAAAAAAGACATGATATTTAGACCAGAAAGAAAACCACCAATCAGAATGAGAATATGCAAAATCAAGAAAAAAAGCATACCTTTGTTTTCTTTCATGGAATGAATTATATTATATTTGTACAGAGAGATTAAATGAATAAGAACATTGATTATTCAAGTGGTTTACCAGGTCGAGATTGCCAGGTATTTTCACATGTAGTATAACTGGATATTCCATTGCTACCCTGGATTTATTTTCTCTGCACAAATTGAAAATGCCACTTTTTTAGAGCAATTGAGCTCACTGCATTTTGAACAAAAAAAAATTGTAAAACATTTATTTTTATTAACTTCAAAATAACACCAGATAGTAGTTGAGCCTAGCTTTATAACACACAACATCTGCAACCAGGAAGGTACACTAAGTTAGTTCGTTATGAAAACTATTTTAATGAAAATCATTTTTCAGAAATTTTGCTCCATCCTCCCAAACACAGTAAAATCTGAGAGATAGTAAGAACTGCCAATGCTGGCGTTAGAGGTAACACAGTGTGGTGGAGGAACACAGCAGGCCAAGCAGAATCAGAGGAGCAGGAAAGTTGATGTTACGGATCAGGACTGTACCGAAACGTCAACTTTCCTGCTTCTCTGATGCTGCCTGGCCTGCTGTGTTCCTCCAGCTCCACACTGTGTTATCTCTACAGTAAAATCTGACTACCTTTACTGGCCCAATATTACATTATACTTTGTAATTAAAAAAACACAATAATGGAAAAAAAACACCATCGCTTCTATACTTTGATTCCTTTCACTACTAGTGAATGTGCCATTCGGAACTGTTCTACAATTAGGAGGCAATGATTATCTAATCTTACTTTATACAGCAAGTCAGGTAATGTGAAGAAGTGCAATACATGGATTAACCTTCAGGAGTATAAACAAGTAACTGCCTTGTCTCATTATTTATTTATATTTAGGAAGACATAATTTATTGCAATGTTTTGCAAGATGGGCACACACTTCAGTCTGGGAATTGTTAATGAAAGTGTTTTGAATTATTCATTTTTAAATTAGGCCATGAAATATAAATTGTAGAACACACGTACTGATGGCTGTTCCGCAACATGAAGGTATCACCAAGTAAACACTACAGCACACTTAAATAATCTCCTGCTTATTTCCAATTTTAAAAATTTAGTGACAATATCTGATATATTAACTTAATTTAGGCAAATTAAACCAATTCCACAAAGGAATCAGGCATCAATATATCAGGTGGTTGCACCATAAAAGTGTTCTGCTTCTTAACAAACCGGCCAAGTTCTATCGACTTATGAACCAGCATGTTGTTTGAGTAAACTGCTGGGCTTTAAACTACATAACCTACTATGCAGATTTTACTTATCACTATCAAAGCTATTCTGACCAATGACAAGGACTAAAATTAATTTGCTGCTGCATTGCATTTTTCACTTATGTACATGCATTTGAAATTCACTCACTAGCCATTTTTGAAGTCAGCCCTTGAGTACAATTTTAGATCACTAGTAAATATACTGTTGAAATAGCTCAAGTTCTATTCATAAGAAATGACTACTTGAATATTTATATACATGAGGTATAATAATTCAATATTGGAAGTGTACTTTCACATCTTTCTCGAATATACCAGCAAGACTTTTTTTTACTCTTTTGTTGAACGTTTTTTTAAATATTAATGCCTTTTAATAATGCTATGACCATCACTGCCTTACCAGAATCTGAAAGGTAAGGAACGAAAAATTTCTCTTAAGGTGGTGCTCTCAGTTTCAGGAAGCAAATATTCCTACATTAATTTCACTGTCACTCCCGGTGTTTGACAAACTATTTGCTAAAAATTGTTTCCATAGCCACATCACATTCCTCAGTGACTGCCTCTGGCTCAGACTCATCCCACGTGGATTCCAACACAAGCTTCAGCCTCTGTGTTTTGAATCCACCCAGGACTATGGGTATCTCCGTGATGTTCAATGTTCCACAGTCAGCTGTTCACGCCACATCCTAAAATCCACACTCAGTGCCAAGCATCGTCACATGCACACTCTCGACCTCTCCAACAGCATGGTCTCAATTCAGCTCAGAGCTACACTGCTCCCCTGTTCCACTTCACCCTCCAGCTCATTAAACATGCTAACAAAAAACTTTCTTTTCCTTTTAGGCATCAAGGAACAAAAGATGCAACAACTCGGAGATACCCATGACCCTTCAAAACATTCCTCCTCTCCTTCTCCCTCTGACTGCATCCCCTCTCCCAGCCCCAATTCCTGCTGGGAATTTAC